TATAATATCTCGTACACCTGTACATATATACTAATGGAATATTTCACTGCCATACCCGAGTTCTTCGTCGACATAATCTGCACCATAGTAGATTTTCTTCTTCCTGCCCCAATTCTTTAAAGCCTCAATTGGTATCTCTTCGCCAAATCTACCCCCATCACTCTCACTATCGTCACCTTCTTCGTCTGCTCTCCTTTTCCAATTATTGCTTTCTTTATCACTATCATTGTCACTATCGCTGCTTGACTCGTGTATATCCAATACGTCCTTGTTTTCATCAACATCGTATGCATCATCGCTCTCATCGGTACCCGCCCCATTTAACATGACCCGATTTTTACTGTTGTGGAAAGCGTCGATCTCATCGTACATGTCCGCGCTCAACCCATCCATGGGCTTCTTTACAGCTTTCGGCTTTTTAGCCTTACCTTTACCCATCCCTTTCTTCACCATTTTGTTGGTTCAAGATTACAGTTGATATATCCTACGCTTATTTCGGATGTAAAGATGACTATCGTCTACTTCATAGTTATACAAAATATACACATGATACACTCTACTGATACAGTTCTTCAAAAAGTAATGATATTGCAAAAAAAAAACAGACACGTGTACTTTTAACTTTACTACATCTCCCTGTGTATGCTAAAAAGTAAAAAGCTCAAAACGTTTACGTGAATGGTTGGTAAAAATAACAGTTTACGATTTCAATACGTTGAATCAGTATAGTCGTTTCTTTTGACAGCTGCAAAATAGATTTTTCAAATAATAACAAATAAGTGTCAACCAGACGTCCAGACATATAATACAGACCAGAAAAACGCACCCACACAAATGAACCAACACAACTCCAAACTACACTTTATATTGGGTGTCAGGTACGGTGTGAGAGCACTACTGGACTTCAAGTTGGAGAAAAATGAAAGATTGGTCCTGGGATTCCGGCGGTTCGAGGCACCTATACAATGCTGCTTTGTTTACCACGACTGGATGACAACAGCAGAAGATCGCATAGTGCTATCCGCATAGTGCTATCCGTGATCATCACCGCCGTCTCGCGTCATACACACAAAAGCCCAGAGAATTTATACACCGGTGAATTGACCTACAATGAGTTTAAGGAGAACATGCTGCAACGCTTTGACCCGGACGCACCGGCCAATCTAAGGACGCCTCTACCACCTCCAAAGAGCGATCGGCAGACAGAACTAGACGCGGAGATGGAGCGCTTAAGTGAACTAAAGAAAAAGTAGGCTGAGGAAGGCGAGCAGATGGAGAAAGAGCGGTGGAAAATGGAAGGAGAGCGAACAGAGCTGGTACGGAAAGACATGGAAGAAATAAAAGCAAGCATTAGTACAAAATTTAGAAACCACAAGGTCGAGATCTCGTATGAACCAAACCGGCTTATATCGTACGACAGAGACCAATTCCCCACCGACTCGCGGAAGGTCATCGCCTGGCTGTTGAATATGGGAATGGGTTGCATAGGGATAATATTATTTATTTCAAAAATGGCAAGTATGTATGATACAATGTATGAACATATGGTATGGCTCTCATAGTCGCTGTAGTGGTTCAGGAAAGATTGATGGGAAGAAATGGTCAGTAAATTACTGTTTGAAGCTTGGGCCAAGTGAGTCGACAATAGAAGATATATGCTGAGTCAATTCGGGCCGGTGTTGACAAAATACTGTTACTATCGAATGTTCCAAATATTCGCTTGCTGACCTACTAAGTAGAGTACCCACCTCTGTGGTACGGATCGGGTCTGCGCCGTGTAGTGTCGCGGAATGGGTTAATGCAGAGTATGAAATACCGAGAAGGGCCAGGTTATCCGTCATAATCCGGTCGAGAAGCGAGGATGGGAGTAAGCCAATGCCGCACCAGACCACAGATGAATTCGGTATGTGTTGGCTGGGCTGGATCGGAAGTATCATAATCGGAACCAACAAGCGCGATGATTTGGTTTGAACCAATATTTGAAAGTAGTACTTCAACAGCGT